TTGAATTAGTTTATATATTATTAAAGTCAGTCCTCCTTGTGGTTATAAGCTCAGTTTTAAAATGTCAATTAAATGGATTGCCTTTCATACTATCCACATGATCTTCAAATCAAGCAGATGTTCCCTGAGAAATGGACAGTGAAACTTGCTCTTAGTATCAAACCACTTTCCTGTACCTTTTGCTAACTCTCTAGTCCCAGAATGAAAATTACAGTAGTTTAATTTGCCCTTGAAAGAGATGATCCTTAGAATGTACTCCTCTGCCTAAAGCCTAAACCCACTGCTTTTAAATAAACAACACAGGAAGACTCTACATTTTGAAATGCTGTGTTGGAAAATGTGTGGACAAGGCCAGAGAACTAGAAAAGGCCATGGGATTTAAATGGCTGAGCTATGTGGGCTCTTCTTGGCCACCTCTGGGAGGCCCTGGATAAGTCATTCCTCCATGCAGGGTGCTGTGCCCCTCCTGCTAAGGGGAGATAGCAGGGGGCTCCTGGCCCCTCCCTGGGAAATGCTGATGATTAGTGACAAGGCATAAAGATGCCAAATCTCACAGGATCAGCACTGGGACGGGTTAAAGTTGTATCTGACCAGAAAAAAGAAAGGAGCTAGCAAAACATGCTTTATTAAGTATATTGACATAATAACATTAAAAAAAAGTAATTAGCACCATTACATACATTTTCCTCACATCTTGTATTTTCATTTTTATTGACTTTTAAAAAACTCATTCAAAATTATACTCATGTATAAACCCTCCTAATGCACATATTAAGACTCACAGACTACAAACTGAAACTGAACTTCATTATTTTTCCCTGAAGAGAATTTCATGACATTTGTTGTTTCTAATCTATGGCTTATTTCTTACAAATATCAAATACAACAGCTTTTCAATGAGTACATTTTTATGTTCTTTTCAAGTGGAAGCAGATAAAATGTGTTTTATACGAGTCCTTTTCAAAACTGATTGGAAAACATACCCTTTAAACCAGAAATTGGGAATTCTAAAGATGGGTTCACTAAGAAATCCAAAAAAGCCTTTGAAAGTCTAAAGAAATTTATAAAACTACATGAGATTAATTGCTATGTATATGTATATACACATGCATGTATACGTAAATACATATTTTTTCTGGCTTACATATTGTAACAAAATTATTACCACTTCCCTTAGCAAACAGAAGGCCCAGTCACTGGGCCAACTCAGGTAAGCGGCGTCCGCACCGCATGGCAGAGGGTTTGTCTGAGTCCCGGTGACTTAATTAGTGAAGAAAGTATTCTCTTGTCACAGACAACACTCAGGGTTCATCCTGTGGTCCTAAATAAAATGCATTTGCTGGTTTCAGTTCAATGCTTTAGGGAAAAGGCCGGGGGGAGGGGGTGGGGAATCCCCTAATTCATTATTTGCCATAATTGGCACCTCTGAGCCACACAAACTAAATTTACATTTCTCAATTCCATCTCCTTACTCAGAAAAACAGCAGGGCAGGGGAAGTGGTGTTCAGTGCAAGAGAAACAGTGGCTTCGTGAGGCAGACCAGTGGAGAGCTATAGAGACGACTCAGAGACATCTGCTCAGTTGTCCCCACAATTGTTTCACGGCAAGCAGGCCACGAATCCAGGCCAATGCGATGTGCATTGTGACTGCCCCCTCTTAACCACGCAGAGCCTTAAGCCCACCAGCGTTGATGGGCTTATTGTTCCATCTACACATATTTACTGAGAATCTATTACGAGCAGAGCATTAAAGCAGGCAATGTGAAAGATAAGCGTAAAAAGTGAACTGTACCCTCAAGTAGCTCATTCATTTATAACAGATATGAACCGTGAGCCTACCTATGCCAGGCAGGCACTGTTTGTTACAGCAATGGATTGGATGGTCTCTGTTTTCACAGAACTTATACTCTAGAAGGCAAGGCAAACAGTAAACAAGCAACACAACGTAAGGTCCAGTTCCATACCTAGGAACCATGAGGGAAAACAAGAGAGGCAAAGGAATGGAGAGAGGCAGGAACTGTCAGTTTCGGTGGTGTGGCTGGACATGACCTCTCAACAGAGGTAGCGATCAAGCAGGGGCCGGTGGGGAGTGGGGGAGGCTCTCTGTGGAAGGGCTTTGCAAGCAGAGGGATCAGCGAGTGCTGGAACACATCTGAGACTTGTGTTGTTTCCTGGGACTGCTGGCACAGAGTACCACAAACCAGGTGGCTTCAAACAACAGACATGTATTGTCTTCCAGCTCTGAGGCTAGAAGTCCAAGCCAGGGTGTCAACAGGGCCAACCTCCCTCTGAAATCTGTCGGGGAAAATCCTTTCCTGTCTCTTCCTAGCTTCTGAGAATGGCCAGCAACTCTTGGCTTTCCTTAATCGCTCTGATCTCTGCCTCTGGTCATGTGGACTTCTCCCTGCATGTCTCTTTTCATTAACCGTCTCCCTCCACCCTCCACCTCCCTGCAAAGGACAACAGTCCTTTTGGATTAAGGGCTCACCCTGCTGACCTCATCTTAACCTGGTTACATCTGCAGAGACCCTATTGTTAAATAAGGTCACATTTACAAGTACCAGAGAAGAAGGTTTCAACATATCATTTTGTAGGGGGACACAGTCTACCCCATAATAAGGCCTTGAGGAATAGTAAAGAAACCGCATGTCTTGAGCAGAGTGTGTGGGGAGGAGCAGGAAGGAGTTTCGGCTGATTCATAAAAGATTTTGTAAGATGATGAAAGACTTTGTCTTATTGTGATCTCCCTCCAACAGTGATCCATGCTTATGTTTCAAAAGGTGAATTTTGCCTGCGGTGTAGAGAGAAAACTTGAGCTCTTACGCCAGGATTAAAACACGCACCACATGACTAAATACATTCATTTTCTCCTAAGGGTTCTGTCTTTGTTTAAGAGAATATTGGATAAGAGTGTTTTTTTCCCAGAGAGGCCTCTGCCCTGGGATCATGGAAGGGTCCCTCCAGAGCCTTCTGATCTGCCTCTGCTGGGATCCCAGGGTCCTACCCGTCTTAGATGGAGTTTGTGTTCATTTCTTGGGTTGGTGGTCCTACTCCTGGTAGGTGCATTCAGACCAGGGAAGTTGACTTTTTCCGGCAAGAGCCCTGGGCAGATGGCAGGCTTCCTTATCCTTCTGTGGGCTACAGGGCTGGTTTTCTAGATTTCAAGAAGGGCCAGCCCCCCAAGGCCCTGCTTCATGTAGGGAGGGGTCTGCCCATTGGTCCACTTTGCTGTCTGGGCATGGGGTGGGCCTTCTAGGAGCTGGGTACATGATGTGTTCACTCTGAAAATTCATGGTATTGCAGAAAGTATTCCCCTTTCTGTACGAAGGGTATATTTTAATACAACTTAACCCCCCCACCCCCACCCCAGTGCCTTTATCTGGGTTCAATCCCCTCTCTAACTCCTATCCCCAACCTAAGAGCTCTGGCTTGGAGACCCTCTCTACTCCTCCTCCCCAATTCTGACGCCTAGAGGTGTTCCTTTCACCCAGCTGAGAGGAGGGTGTGTGTGTGGAACTATATTTATCCAGTAAAGTTACCTGCTTAGAGGGAGGAAGAGATGAGCAGAAGCTTCTGATAAAAGTGAATGCTGACTTCACTGAGAGGACACAGGAATGCTGTTTCATCAAGGTGGCATTAGAATTTACCAAAAAAGTAGGCTTGGGGGGACAGTATGGAGGCAGAAGAGCACACAGTAACTAAGAGCAAGGTGTTCACTTGGCCACCGCACAGGGTACGGGAGGGACTCAGACAACAGTGGGGCCAGAAGGCTGAGGACCAGGCCTGAATGTGCTGAGGACTTAGACCTTTGCTGGTAGGTGAACAGGAGTCATGGATAGTCATGGAGAAGAGTGGCCTGCTTGCATCAGTGATCTGAGAGAAATAATTGAACAAGCAGAGTCCAGGTTATAGTATATAAGAGAGGAGAGGCAGGGAGAGAAGATATGAGACAGTGGCCATAGTTCACTAGAGAGGTGTTGAGGGGTGTGACCATGGGAAGTGAAGAGAGGACAGCAATGGGCAGATCATGGTGCACTGGAGATCCGAGGGAGGCCAGAATCCAGTACCTGAAGGTCTTCAGCCATTGCGAGGCTAAAAGAAAAGAGAATCACATTAGTCAGAAGGACGCCTGGTGGGAGACAAAGATGAGACCACCTTTTTATCATTGTTTTCATATTGTCTTGTTTGGTTTTGCCTGAATGTGTTTCAGATACAGCTATCCGACAGGAAGTGGTAGTGGTCATCTACGTAGATGTAAGGATTGAAACTAACCATTCATTCACTCATTCTTTTCATTCATCATTTTTTTTTACAAAACAATTTACAGAGCATTCATCACTCTCCTTGTTAATTTGTCCTTCCTACTCGCTGATAATTGAACATTTCTTCCCTTTCACCATTTCGCCCATTCCTTTCTGTTGTCTTCAAATACAGAGTGAAGACCTTTGGGTAAAGATGGGGGCTTGAGCACAGGGATGTGATTTCACTTTCTCCCCAAAACTCCACTAAAATGTCAAGAGAAGTTTTTTTGGTGGTGGTGGTGGTGGTGGTGGTGTGTTTTGTTTTCAAGCATAAACCTGTAAGGATGGGGAAAAAAGAAAAGGGAGCCACAGCAAACGTGGGGAGCTGGAAGGCAGGTGGGTAAATGGTTAATGACTGAGCAGACACAAGAAAACAGAGTCCTAAGACGGCTCTCCTGAGACAAGAACGATCCAGATCTACACGACAGAATTCCTAGGAGGTTCGGGATTGGCAGCAGCATGTACCTCTGGATGTGGGGATGAAAGAGAGAGATGCTAGAATGAGATGGATTCAGGGGACTAGACTTACTGAAGTTGTACGCTCAGCCCTCTTCACCCTTTTCCCTCCACAGGAGATGGACAACTGTAACCAGCCCGAGAGGAAACGCCTAAGGCTACTGGTATGGGGACAATTCAAGCATCTCAGCCCACAGCTGGGTTCATGTCTCCTCCCCACACACGTCAAAGCACTTTAATCTCCTATTTGGAATTCTCGGCAGATAACCAGGCACTACTTGACATCAGAGGAACACCTCGAAGAGGAAAAACAGAAACTCAAACAGAAGAAAACATGGAGGAAACTGCAATGATACAGGGAGAAGAAAACTTGGATTCAGTTGGTCTGGGATGAGGCCTGGGCACCAGCATTCTTCTTGGCCCCAAGTGATCCCAGAGTGTAGAAAGTTGGCTCTATATGCCGAAGAAGAAATGTTTAGGAAATGCTAGAGGCAGCCTGGTGTGGCGGGCGCTGAGTGACCAAAAATGCCTGCAGGACACTGGCAAAGAGGGAAGTTAGTACTTAAAGTCATTTGAATGGCTACCATATTAGCCTCCCATCTGTCCCCAAAACTTGGACAAGTACCAAAGGTGAAGAGGTGGCTGGTATGAGAATCACACCTCAGGGAGAGGTTTCAGGCAGGAAAGAGCTGCGAGAGGAGACCCCCACGAGAGCAGGAACTCAGAAAGGGGTGTTGGTGAGCTGGGCACTTGTCAGGAATCTGGGACGGGGTTGTGACGCTTGCATGACAGCAACAACCAGAGTGAAGGGAGTGAAAGTCCATGTGCACGAGGCTTGCTGCTCGCTGCACTCAGATTCTTGGTCTGACTCCTCGTGACCTTGACCCCTTTACCCCTACCCAATCCCACAGCTCTCCCTCAGTATTTAAAACTCTCGGCCCATTTATACAATTAAAATTTAAGCTAACTGAGTCTAACCTCTTCATCTAAATCCTGATCAAATGAATTGCCTAGTTGAATCCAATTAGAATTCATTCCCATTCTTACAAGATAATAGGCCAACTATACTACAAATGCCCCATTTTCATCTGTCATTTCACTTAATTGCAAAATAGGATACAATCTAATGTGTCCAAAAATAACCCAAAAAAGATTATAAAAGTGATGTAACTAGGACCCACATCTCATTTAAAAAGTCATTCCTTTTCATTACCATGTAATTTTAGTAATACTAAATTTAGTAATACCTAATTTCACATATACACATCATTAAAATCAAGATTTTATAAATGCAAATGGCATTTATAATGTGAGATAGAGATGCTCAACTTAAAAAAAAAAATGAAGTCAGCAAAGAGTTTTCACGTGTCCATTTATTGATTGCTGGGAATACAGCCTATTGAGAATGCACGACATGCATTTTGGGGGAGAAAGTAACCAGAACTGAAATGAAGCCATCCAGTGAGCCTGAGAGTTCATAAGGTAGCACAGATTAGATCTGAAGATACTGTGTGGGATGACTCCAACAGCCACTTACGGTTATCATTAAGATTCCAGCCGCAAAGACTTTTGGAACTTATTTATTCTTCATTACTTAGGGAAGAGTGACATTACTTGGCTTCTTTAGCTTAAACTAATGCTAGGAAGAATGCTGTTCACTGACATGCCAGAAAAACAAAAACAAAAAACTTGCTCTTACTTCAAATTGTTGTTCCATTTCTACAATTCCTTCCCTATCAATTTGGATACCTTGGAATTATAAGCAGCTATACAGATTTAGAAAAAATTAACTGTCTTCACTTGATTCATTCCAGTATCTACTGCTGACTTGTGCTCTTTCTAATACCAGCAGATTTTTTACAGCATACTGTCAATGTCCCCCCAAGGTGTTTGCTTTAACTCACTGATACACTAAAGTGATATAAATTAAAGAATTCCAGTTACACTTAAAAGGACAGAAAGATTAAGTTACTGGAATGTCTCAGACCATATTTAAAATGGTTTCATTATAGATGTGGTATATATGCAACGATTAGAACCTGAAATTAGATGAAATGCTGAAATGTATTCAGAACTGCCGAGTGACAGGATGCATATTTCCCCTAAACTTTGTACTGGCTATTTTTTTCTTAAAATGACGACAGCAGTGTCACTTGATATTTAGACAATTTGGGTTGCTTTTCATGGTAGCAGGGATAGAAAACAAAAAGAGAAAACAAACAGATATACCCAAGTGGAATAAAAAAGGGCAGATTTTTTTGCTTTTTTTTTTTTTAAGAGGCAGTCTGTTCCTCCCGTGAACTGTGTTCTTTCATTAATGCTTCAGGGGGACTTGGTCAAGGCTTGCAGCGCTGAACAAACCGAGGGTATAAGCACACATCTCGGATGTGATATCTATCCAGAATCCAGGTTAAGAATCGTTCCAACCCCAAGCCATAGCCTCCATGTGGACATGTGCCAAATTTTCTCTGTTTAAAAAGAGAGAAGGAGAAATGCTTAGTTTAAAATTTTGTCTAAAAATAGTTAAAATTTTCTA